TCTGCATTTTTGGGGCTGGGGAGATGGCTCAGTGGAATAAGTGCTTCCCTGGCAAGCATAAGGGCCTGAGTTCAATGCCCGGTTCCGCAAAAATAAATAAATAAATAAATAAATAAATAAATAAAGTTAGATGAAGCAGTCAAAGGTGAAATTACATTTGTGTATGGGATTTGAGTTTAAATATTACAACAAAAAAAAAGACATAAACATGCAATAGGGTAAATGAAGTAAAAATTGAAAAAAAGAAACAAGGTTGAAGCTACATGACAGCATAGTGGTTTATGACAGTTTCTATTTTATACCTAGCTGAACTTTTTCATAACAAAAGATTTTTTAAAATAGACGTTTAAATAATTACAATAAATAGTCATGAGGTATGGCCTTATTTAATCTAACAACATCTTTCTTTTCTTATTAGACCTACCATCAACTTTACTGGAGCTCCACTTAGATTTTAATAAGATTTCAATTGTGGAACTTGAGGATCTTAAGCGATACAAAGAACTGCAAAGGTAAAAGTTTCCAAACTCTTAATTTATTTTTAGTACATATTTATAATAATAATCACATTCATTGTGGGGAATTTGTACATGTACATAACAGACCAAAAATCTTAATTTAATAGTAACACATAGGATTAAAATATTACTGAAGTTTCTCAGAGAATATGTATAACAGCCTCAGCTGAGATCATCACTGTTGCTACTAGAAAGTGTAAAAGAAAAACTAGAAGGCTCTATTATTACTGCCTTTGCTAATGGGAGAGGCAAAGGAAAGCAAATGTTACAAATTTTTCTCTGTGGTGCATTTAGGACAAATAATATTTGAAATGTGTGTGGGGGTGGGTGGGTAGGATTAAAACCTTGAAAGCAAAGTACAGAGCTACATGTCTATAATCTCAGTTACTGAGGGGGCTGAGCCAAGACAATTGCAAGTTCAAGGCTAGCCTGGGTAGTGAATTGAGAATCTGTCTCCAAAAAAAAAAAAAAAGCCAGGAACTACATTTCTGTGAGCACACATGAAAACAGGACAGGCTTATATTCTAACCAGGATTGTGGTATTTTTAGCTAACTCTGACAAACCTAACCACCTGTATAAGCATTGACATACTTTATTATCATTTTTAGGCTGGGCCTAGGAAACAACAGAATTGCAGACATCGAAAATGGAAGTTTTGCTAACATACCTCGTGTGAGAGAAATACATTTGGAAAACAATAAACTTAAAAAAATTCCTTCAGGATTACAGGAGTTGAAGTACCTCCAGGTAAAACTGTACTTGTGTCTGATAGATACAAACACTTTTATAAAACATATCTCATATTTGTCAAACAAAGACCAAGCACTCAGGGGTAATCCAGATATTATAATTCCCCAAGTTGCACAAGCTATTTTTACAGATAGGAGAGTGTTAGGAGAATGCGCCCAAAAAGCTTTCCTCCAAGAAGCTCAGGTTTCAATACCCATTTTCTCCTTCTGAAGCTGGTGAGGCAGTCACAGCAAAGATGCCAACTAGATTACTTCAAGTTTCTATAGTTTCTAAGGCAGGGCCAGGTGTCCTTTCGTTCTGGACACATCTCACAGGGCAGAGCAAGAGAATCAGGCTCTAGGTATTTTCACTATCAATACTTGGTAGGCTGGAAGTAGGTATGCTTTTAAAACATTTATAATTAACCGGAACTCACTCGCTCTGGGCTGGAGATACAATTCATCAGTATAGGACTTACCTAGAATGTGGAAGGTTCTGGGTTCCATCCCCAGAACCATGAAAAAAGAAATTTACATTTTTCATTTGATGCTCTTGCTTTTTAGAAACCTTCTCCTTTCTGACATTCTTAACTTGCTGGCAGGGGAAAAAAAATTTTTTTTTGTACATAATTCTAGGTTTTTCACAATCTTTCTGATTCTCATTTAGGGACTTCAGATTAAGAACCACTGCATGATATTATTTCATTTTAATCCATTTTTGTATGGGCTCCCCTTGCTCCACAAAGCCTTATCTTCCAAGAAGCAAAAGATACAATGAGAATAAAACCAGGCACTAAGTATTGTATTAGTCACCTTTCTGTTGCTGGGACAAAACACCTGACATACATAACTTCAAAGACAAAGGTTTATCTTGGCTCACAGTCTCAGGCCATGGCGTGGCTAGCTCCAAGGCAGAAACAACATGGTAGAAGGTGTGGCAGAGGAGAGCTGCTCACCTCATGGCCTCCAGGAAGAAGAGAGGGCGAAGAGTAAGGGGTGGGGACAAAAATGTACCCTTCCAGGCTACTTTCCTTGTGTGTCCTACTTTCTTCGTCCTACCTAGTGTGTGCCCAAGTCCTCACAGCACATTATCCTACAAACTTAACAAGCACTCTACTTCTTTAGATTTCTTTCTCATTTATCTTTAAACAAGTGTGCTCACTGACCTCACTGGAGACACAGTCATCAAAGCATGTGCTCTGTGCAGATGTGGGCCCTGCGGTAACTCAATGGTCTCTGATACTTCTGAACGCAGCAGAGCACATGTGTCAACTCTGAAGGTCTACCCTATGTCAAGGCTACCTGCCCTGATCTGTATCTCTGTACAGCTCAGACCTCAGCATATTGTCTCTTACAATCCCTGTACTCCTGTTAGCATAATTTTTTAATGAAGAGAGCAGCACAGAGATGACCACAAATCACATGCACGTATTTCAGAAAACATCCACAAAGAAACACACTCATGCACACCATGTTTTCACTCAGCAATCTCAGTGTTGTGGATAACATACCTTATTGTGTTCCTGAACAACAAGGGAACCATGTAATGGATTTGTCACAAAATTCCAGGAATGACAGAGCAGAGGAAAGTTGACTACCACACAAAAGCGTTTTAACAATGCCTAGACTGTTCATAGTGACGATGAGATCATTCTTTGTAAAAAAAAATAAAGGCAGAATCTTGACTAAAGGTCAAAACCAGTATTTCAGCTTTGCCAGCAAAAGGCTCCAACTTTTTAACCTGTCAAAATGCTGTTAGTAAAGTAGCTTACTTTTACTTCCTAGAAATCTCTTACTATCCAAGGCTAAAAAGGAATAGAAAGGCCTATCATAGAAACAGCAGTTTCTCATTCCTTATGAGTAATAATTTAAAAGACATTTGTATAACCTTTAAAAATGGCATTTCATCAGTGCAAAGTATTCAACTACTAATGGTCTACTACAAATATGTGCAGATGTTGACAAACATTTCTATAAAACCACATTCCAAAAAAAAAGCACTTCTACACTTTTCTCCCTTAACATACACACACACACACACACACACACACACACACACACACACACAAATGCCAGCTGAGGTTTCTCCATCTTAACATAGCGAGTTGAATTCACAGAGTAATGAATTTCATTCCTCTGTTCATTTCTAGTACCTTGTAATTTTAACTGTGAACCACTCAGGCCCACCTTAATTAACTATGTATGGGGTGAGACAGACAGAGTGGGGTATGGAAAAGCAATGTGGCAAGCTGACCAGGCAGCAAGCCCTGGTCATGGCTCTATCTGTGCTGTCCCACCCCTCTCCCAGAACATTTTCTTGCACAGTACAAGAGTTTGAATGGCTGTAAGGTACTTAATAGGTATAAATAAGTATATTTTATTTAAGTGAAAATACAGATAAGTAATGCCACAAAACAAATACAGACTATAAATAGAATATCTACCCTTTGCATTTACTGTGTATTTTAAATCTATTCTTTTCTTTCCTACTGCAACAGATAATCTTCCTTCATTCTAATTCAATTACGAAAGTGGGAATAAATGATTTCTGTCCAACAATACCAAAGATGAAGAAATCTCTCTACAGTGCAATAAGTTTATTTAACAATCCAGTGAAGTACTGGGAAATACAACCTGCAACATTTCGTTGTGTTTTGAGCAGAATGAGTGTTCAACTTGGGAACTTCAGAAAGTAATAATGATGTCCACTTAATATAAAATTCAAAAATTCTCTCATTTGGAATACTTGAATGCTATTAATAACTATAAAAAAATTCATAGATGTAGAAAAATCTTTTCCACGTAGAAGACAAAAAATTTCAACAGAATTTTGCCAATCTATTGGTATATAAGTATTAAGAGAAATCGGTATCTATTGTAGTTTTCTGCATAAAATGATTGTGCATAAATCTCTTGCTTCACCATTCCTTTCTCAGTAAAAAGTTAGCATTTAACCCTTTGTTATCTAGTACATTTTAAAAAGAATTGTACTGTAAACGGAATGACTATGGAATATTTGTGCTGTTTCATTTGTTAAAAAATGACAAGAACAGCTGCATGAAGAGTATATTATACTAGTCTGATTCTTTAATAACTTTAGTACTGTAATATTTCGAATCATGGTGAAGTATGACTTGAGATAATTATAATGAAATTCTCATGTGTCATAGCCTGTCTTTTATGTTTAAAACTCTCTTCTTATAATAAAGCTTCCAGTAAGTATTCATTACCAGCTCTACAGAT